TTTTTTGCAGTCTATTTGGTGCCACAAAATTAACATTTTTGTGCTTTTGTTGGTGATTTCCCTATTTAAAATAGCCTTTAAATGTAGAGTTGACATGTTGTCTAGTGTTCTTAGCACAAGAAGACTGTGATGTGCCTTAGGTGTTAGATAAACTTCATGTCATCCAGACTGTAAGATGCTAATAAATCAAAAAATATATATTATAAATAAGATGACTTTAAACAGAAACAAATGAAACAAGGTTGTATATTGCTCAGTTGATGAAAACCAGTGGCTTACAGGAGCCAAACTCTGTATTCTCTTAGTAGCAATGGTTCAATATTCACTAATTCAGTGTTCACCATTACTTTACAGAACACAATTACACACAAAAATGAAATGAGCAATTGTATCGATATGAAGCAGTGAATATAATGAGTCTGTGGGGAAGTATTGCAAATAAGATTAGTGAGGACAAATATTTTCTTTTTGGAGCATCGTTCATATTTTGTGGGTTGGCTTGAAAACTACTCTCCTTTTACATACACATTCTAGTTTTTCTTACTATTGGCATCTTATTAAAATATGTAATTTTTGGCTTGTGATTTTCTTTAACTTTTACATTTGAATTTATTATATATTTTATGTATTTCCCAATAGCTGTATATAATCGTTCATGGAAAAAGACATGAGCTAAATAACCAAGTGATACCCTCAGAAAGCTGCCTGAGCTGATCAACCTCCCATGCAAAATAAAAAAATGAATTTATGTTTCTGAGAATTGCTGAAATGTTAATGGATACAGAACATAGACATTCTCATGGCATATATCCCTTGAAAAATATCAATAATAATATATAGGGCAACACACATTATAATACACAATCTTTTATGTGAAGGTTTTCAACCCACACATAATATTCCAAAAATCACAAAACACTAGTGTGCCACATCTTTAATAATGAGAAAAAGTAATGGTGATGTGTTGGTATATTTATATTTCTATAATATTTATGTGCATGTCCATAATTATGTGTATATTTCTGGTAGATGTATAGATAAAGAACATGAATTAAATTGGATGCTAAAATATACTATTTTTTGTATACTCCTACTTTCATCTGCTTGTTTGCATCTGGTGTAGGCCTCTTCATAGGGGCCTTTTTAGTCTCAACAGATATTTGTCTATATGCCTTATCTTCTTTTTACTCAGCAAGTTCTCTTACGTTAGCTTCAAACTCTATCCTATGTCTGAACAGGTCTACTATTTGAGCAGTAGATCATGAATAGATGTGTGTAGACAAATTACTTATTTACTTATGTATTGTGTTTTACATGGGTATGTCTGTGAGTGGGTGTTATATATCATAGTAGTAGAAATGAACACAACAATGTGTGTGTGCTAAGAATAATGTGTGCATTTGGTCTCAATGCACAACTATGGAAGAGAGAAAAATTCACTAGCTACGCAAATGCTAAGGTAATAAATAACTTGGCGCACTGCCTGAGTCTACCCATCCTTCACTGTCAACAAGTAAATGCCACATCCTCAAAATTGGAGGGAAATCTTTAGTTTTCACTGAAATTGTAAACAAAGACAATACCATGAATTAAATAAGATGCTGAAATCGACTGTGAACCTAATACATTTCATTTAATTTTCAAAGGACCTAAAATAAGCTTTGATAAAAGAGCTTAAAATTCTATTTAGAGATCATGCATAGACTCTATACAATATCATTGTAGAAATAAGGTTTTTTTCCTGCTATCCCCACAGCTAATACAACTGTTTCTCTTTTATTTTGCATTCAAAAATATTAATTTATAGAATTTATTGTAGCATCATATTTCTACTTGCAACTTACAGATATAGTAAAAATATATATAGCCACATAAATTCTATTAGGGGAAATCATGTGTGCCCCCCCACACACAATGAACTCAAATTCTGAAATGACAGCAACTGAAATTGAATTACTTCTTAGATCAACCCTTAAGTTGCAACCATAAACAAATGAATAACCTGTTCTTTTTCCTGTAGTCTAATATCAATCTTTGGTGGACTTTTCATCAAGTATATTTTTTAAAGGCAATCAAAGAAATACAATGTAGACTTTATTTTAGAAGACTAGATATTAGAAATTATACTTATTTATAAAGATGATATCTAAATGGGAAAAAGCCTGTCAGTGATGAAAGTAACATTAGTCGATGGTAATTTATTAAAGTACCATAGTAATTGTATGTTGTTTATTAATGAGTTTCAAAAAAATTTGGAAAGCTAGATAAAAATATAAATATTGTTCATAGTTTGGGTGTTTAAATTTATAAATATGTCTTTGAATTTGCAAATATTACATTGTAATGAGTAAAATCATTCAATCCATCCATTCCAACACACTTCTGACATATAAATATGTATTTCCAGAAATTTAAACTTTAATGAGACTAGGAAAATTAAAGTTCTTCCTGGGTCTTCTCTTTCTTCCCCACAATATTGATTTTATTGTCCACAGCTATAGGACTTCAGGATTCTGTTCTAAAATGAATCTGGCCCAATAATATAGGCTTCCTCAGGAAATAGTAAGTAAATTGAAGGACACAGAAACACATTTTATTCAAAATTTCCAGTGTTTTCAAGGTTTTGTGTGTGTGTGTGTGTGTGGTTGGTTTCATTTTTTTGTTTGTTTTCCTTGTTTTAGTATTTTAGTCCAACTCCATGACAGTTATTTTACTTGGCAACAAACTCTTTGATTAAAAGCTTTAAGTTTGTTTTATTTTGTATCTGGAAACAAATTAATGTCATACAATTTTAAAATTTCATGATTTAAAAATCATGTATGAACCTGGAGGACATTATGTTAAGTAACATAAACCAGGCACAGAAAGACAAATACCATGTGATCTCACTTTTATGTGGAATCTAAAAATATTCACATCATAGAAACAGAGAGTAGAATGGTGGTTACTAGGGGTTAGAGGGGGAAAGTAGGGGCTGGGGAAATTTTTGTCAAAGGATGCAAAATTTCAGTTGAATAGAAGAAATAAGTTCAAAGCATCTATTGCACAACAAAGCAATTATAGCTAATAATGTATTTTTGAAAATTGATAAAAGAGTTGATTTTAAGTGTTCTCACCACAAAAAAAGATAAATATGCAAGGTACTGGACATGTTAATTAGCTAGATTTTGCCATTTCATAATGTATACATATTTTGAAACAATATGTTATACACAATAAATATATACAAATTTTATTTATTAATTAAAATACATAAAATAGAAATCAAAATATCAAAGCATAGCTACATAATAATAGATGAATTTTTATAAGAGAAAGTGATTGGGGGAATAAAAATTGCATAAAAAATTATAAAACTGTCCGCTAACAAGCCATTTAGTTAACTAACATTTCCTCTAAACCTATCTAAGCCAGTAGTGTCTCAGTGTTCTTTTATGTACTACCTAAACGTCTCTTTTCACTCTTCTCAGTTCTCTAAATTTGCCTTTAAAGCCTCCTCTCAGGAGTGTTGGCTTTATAAATACCCAACATCTTTGTATTTATGGCTTATTTTTTTAATCAGAATTATATTATTTTACTAAACCAGAAAGTGAGAGCTGGTGTGGTTGTTGGGCCAATGGTTCTATTTTGTTTGACCCATTTATAGTTTAATTTTTTAAAATCTGTAGCCAACCTTAGAATCATAAGATTTCTTATATAATTAGAATATTAGAAGACCTATTAGCATTAACTTCATATTCCACTATGGAAAGAATTTACTAGGCTTGATTGGCAGCTACCAATTGAGAGATGCCATGTCATTTCCAATTTGTCACCATCCCATCAGGCTTGCTTCTCTCATTTACATTACCTGATAGATCCCTGTAAACATTTGAGTTTGCAGTCCCTGATAATTGAAGTAAATGAGGCAACATATTTTTCCTCTTAAACTATCTCTTTAGGATATCCCATTCAAAAATTAACAAACCTCAGAGCCAAATTTAAAAGTCTCTGCTATGTAGAGGCACAAAGCTTCCATTTATTGCTAAAAATGCATTTAGTTATTGTGATAATGCAATGATTACAGAAATAAAGTGTGAAATGCAAGCACAAGAATAAGAACACCATATTCTGACTTAGAGTAAGTATTGCTGTGTCAGGGATGGCATAGGAGAAGGCGATACCTAATTAAGTTGAAACATAATGAATCCGTAGGGTTTTAGCTCATGCCTGTGGACTCAAAAGGGAGGATTGGAAAAAATGGCTCTGGATATAGGAGTATATTTTGCAGAGACCTACAACCTACAGGTGAGAGAAAATAACAGTGATTGTCTGGTGAAGAACAGGAAGAATGAAGGATAGCTATTTAAGCCAAATGCCAAATAATGGTTTTATATGCCACAAACATTAAGTTCTGTTGTTGTTTTAATAAAAAATGAAAAGATGTGACCATGTCTCCAACTCTTGTCACCTGATGGATTTCTACTCAACAAGCACTGAAGAAACTCCCAGCTTTCTCCTCTGATAAATGGGGCATTCATTATCCCAAACTTCTCTTCTTCAAACTTGCCACTTACATATAATTAATTACCAACCTGGATTTTATTGCTTTCTGAAATAATTTCTAATTTTAAAATAAAGAAATTAACTTTTTCATACAATTTAAATTCTAGCTTATAGATAAAAATACATCAAGCTTTTTAAAGACAAAACAACAAGCACATTTTCTCCACATGTGCTAATATGCTAATGGTTATAAATTGTCCCAGACATGCTTCACATTGAATCAGTGACTTCTATTTATACCCATAGCAAAGATTATGAAGCTGAAAAATGCAGACATTATAAGAATCCCTATGTGAAGTACATAACTGTTCTTTTACAATGCTTCAGTTTAAGGTTGTAGGCTGCTGACTTCTCTTTTTCTTTGTGTAATAAAGAGCTGTTTTTTGTGCTGGAACACTTCTGGTTTGCAGCTGACAAAATGAGAATTGACAGTTTTTCTTTTATTTTTCTTTCAGCTCACTCCAGTTGGCACCACAATATTTACAGGATTTTCAGGAGACAATGGAGCTACAGACATAGATGATGGCCCAAATGGACAGATAGAATATGTTATTCAATACAATCCAGATGATCCGGTATGTAAACACCTTTTGCAATGTAATTTCACTATGAGGAATAAAATTAATATTTATTTCAGCTGATATTTATTGTGTTTTTCTATTAGCTCCTGGAACCATGATAGTAATAATACCATTATTAAAAATTATCTCAAATTTGAATTATTTTTTGAATATTTATACTATAGTTTTAAAGAATCATTTTTGGTGGTATTTCTAGGCAAAAGTTTAAAATGTATTCATAATTGCAAAATGCAGTCTTTACTAAATTTTCATTATGTTTGTGGACTCCTAATCATTCTAAGCATTCTAAACAAATCATTGAAGATGATATAACCAATGTGATTGCTTATGCTTTTTGGAACTTGGCAATTAATACCAAATGCTACCATCACACTGCACAGACATACATACACCAAATGTATTTCTGGTGTTGCAAGCCTTTAAAATCCCAGCCATCTCAGCAATGAAACCAAAGATAAAGAAGAAGACAAAGCCTCTAACTATAGGCCATTTTTTTTTCTGCATTAGAGTAGGGGGTTTCTACATTGTTTCTTAGGCCATGAAATCATTTGCTCCAGTGACATATACAAAAAAAAAAAAAAGACAAAATCAGAATTATTTAATTGAAGCTAAAGCTGGAAGTCCTTCTCGCAATCCTCCCTTTTTTTTGTTTTCTTGAGGCAGCTTCTGAGAATCCCATGGGCTCCCCAAAGCAGTTTTAAAGCCACTTCTTAAGTGAGCTTTCTAAATTAATGCTTCTATTTTATGTTTAATAGTAGAAGTATAGCAGTGAAGTTAACATTTTGCCTTTATTTTTTACCTTCATATTTCTTATGTACGCTTTAAACAAATAAACAAAAAAAGCAAATAAACAAAAAACTTCAAAAACTGTTGCACTTGCAGAGACAGAACTCACAAGATCTTCACAAACCTGTTGTAAGGATTAAGTGCTCATGAACGTGTTTTCTCATTTTATTCTGACAAATCAGTTAGTAGTAGTTGTATCTCTATTGCACAGGAGAAAAAACAGACTCATAGGTTAAGTGATGTGCCTGATATAACACAGCCGTTTCTAAGGTAATAGAGTCCAATTTCAGAGTAGCATGTACCCCACTCTTCCTCTATTGTGTTCTTATGAAATTGTTGTAGTACTGTGTGAAAATTTCCAAAAACTTTAGAGAATAAGAATGAACATTTAAAATAAAAATTCCATGAGGGTATCAGGGTCAAGGGAAGGTTTTGGAGATTTGGGGGGTGTTTGTTTTTCCCCCGAAAGAGGATATCTCACTGGACATGTTCTGTGGCAGACAATGAAACCAAGAGATAAGGACATGATAAGAATGTGACAGAGAAGGACAGGAAGTATTAAGAGTTATACAAGAAATGAAGTGGAAAGGATCAAAGTAAAAGCAGAGGAGAAAAGGGCAAGAGAAACATTTTTGCTTAAAAGTATAAGCATATGACTTCACATTCTATTTCTAAACCATTATTTTGTTTGCTATTTTTTTAATTAATTGTATGAGTGTGTTGTATTTCTAGCTTACATTTTACGAAGGTCATTTTCTAATCTTTACTCCTCAAGCTGTAAAAATAAAACCTCCCAGCAAGTATGGAACAGTCAGTCCATGCATTTTAGGGAAATATTTATTGCATGCATACAAAAGAAAACTGTCCATAGTTTAGATATAGTTTGAGACCAAATGTATATTACTTAAAGCTATCTTTTAGAAGTTTCATGAGACTTAAATTCCTTGTTAAGCTGTGCAGTAATTTCTTCTGAATAGTTGTAGGCTTGCCATCAAATATAACATGTACCTTTCACTACCTACAGAATGGTTAGCCAATCAGCCACATGTAATTTCAAAATTACAAAAAAAACATAAAAATATAAAAGGAAAAGAAGAAAAATATATTTTGGCTAGCTAACCTCCACTGTGGAATAAATAAAAAGTTCTCTGGTTACAATCCTAATTCAGTGACCAAAAGAGCAAGATATCATGCCAGCACTTAACTTAGGGTATATTGGAGGGGAAAGCATTAATCAAGTCATACCCTTAGGTAGATAATCCACCTTTAGCCATCATATAAACTTAGTGTAAACCTCAATACCAGTTTCTATTCTTATAAAATATGTGAGAGAAATGCCTGATGATTTTTTTAGTCTGCTTCTATTAAATCTCTAGTAATTCTGTTTATATTAATAGCACCATTATATTCTCCTGCTTATCTTTTAAGGTCAAAACAAAATTGTGTATGCATAACAAACTTATTATTTAACCTGAAAATGTGGCCACTTCTTGGTTTTGCAACCACAGTTATAATTTCTTTCAAATTAGTCTCATATTGTACGATTGATGATTGAAAATGTAGATTATCTGATCTATTTAAAATTCTCAATTTGTGTGTTTGCTTTTCTTCCACCTGATTCTTTATTACTCATTACTTGAAGTCACATATTAATGATCAGGAGTTTCACTCAATTCACAGACATTTTGTTTGGTCGCAACTTATTTTAAACAATTTTAAATCTAATATCTAAAACTCATGAAAATTTACATTCAAATTTAGCTTTCTGTCCTCTCTTGATAAACAGAAATATAACAACACTGGTCCTGATTTCCAGTAAGAGAATAATCAGCTAGAGTTGAACTCTACCACTCTTCACACTCAAGCTTTACTAGCTTTGCTTATTTACTTTTTTTGCTTATTTTCATTATCTGATTCATCCTTTTAGACATTTGTAGATGTAATACCTGCCTTAGAGAAATGCAAAACATTTTTAATTAAAAATTTTTATCACTTTAAACACCAGCCTTTGTTGATTTCTGATGAATGAAAGTAGAAACATAAATAATGTTTTTTGAATGTAATGGGTCATTTTTCTCTGGATGCTCTCAAAGTTTTCTTTTAATCTTGGGTGCTTAGCAACTTGACTGTAGCATGTTGTTATGGAAAGCTATAGTTTTCTTAATATTAACTTTCTTGGGGGGTTGCTGAGATTATGGAATTTTTGAATATTTATTTTTGAATATTTATTTTTTCATAATTTAAAAATTTATCAATCATCATTTGTTCAATATTTTCATGTCCATTTCTCTGACTCTTCTCATCTGACTCTGCTCCTTCCAAGACTCCAATTACAGGTGTGCCAGGCATTTTGATGCTGTTCCACTGGTTTATGGGGCTGTGTTCAATTATTTTCAATATATTTTTATCACATGTCTGCAAACTGCATGTTTTCTATTGATCTATATTCAAAGTTACTACATTCTCTGCCAATCTCCATTTTGTCTGTTTTTAAACCTATCCAGTGATGTTTTAGTGTCTTTTTTTTATTTCAGATATTCTTCAGGTTTAAGCTTTCTGTATTTTTATATTTTGTATTTTTGCTGATATTTCCCATTATTTCACTTACAGTGAGAATATTTATTTTTACATCTCTGAGCACAGATATAGTTATGATAGCTGTTTCAATATTTTTGTCTGCTGGTTCTAACACTGGTCTTCCTGGATTGCCTCGCCTCTTCTAAAGAGATCACATTTCCAGGTGTATCACATTGATAGACTCTCTACTGCAGGAGTCCTCAAACTTTTTAAACAGGGGGCCAGTTCACTGTCCCTCAGACCATTGGAGAGTGTGCACTGCGGGCCCAGGATGAGTTGGCTGCTAAGCAGGACAGGCAATCGTGGCAAAAATACTTGAAGGGCCGGATAAATGTTCTGGGCAGCCCCGTGGGCAGTAGTTTGAGGATGCCTGCTCTATTGGATATTGTGTTATGTTATGGAGAGACTCTTGCTTTTATTATATTCCTCTAAAGAATGTTTTTTTGTTTGTTTTTAATTTTATCAGATAACTTGGTAAAATTCAAAGTGAAAACTGTTTCTCTTGAATGCTACTCAAATCAGTATTCAGCATACATTTCTTTCTTAGTTATTCTGCCTATAGTCTGCCCCACACAAATGAAGTTTAGAGATCAACTAAAAATTTAGATATCGTTTAAAAGTAGAATTTTGTTCTTCCTCTTTCTAGCTTTCTCTTTTCAGTATTTCTCCCTCACTTTCCTCAGTTTTGGTAGTCCCAAAATCTACTACCTGACTCTTCAGGCCAGAAAGATTTCAGACTTCCTATCAGAGTTTTAGGTTAACTGCTATAAAACAGGAAAATCACTCGTGTTGTTTGCCTCATTTGAGTGTCCAGTTCCTTAAGAGTATGCCTGCTTTGGTTTTATCTTCAAGGATGTCATATATTTTTTGTTTGTTTGTTTTTGCTATTTTGTCCAGAGTTTATAGGTGCTTTTTGTGAAAGGATTGGGTCAAGTAGGAGTTAACTGGTAATATAGAAGTAGAATAATTAATTCTCAATGAGTTCCTTTCTTCAATATATCTTTAGATGACTAGCATTCTTACTCATTTTTGGTTCTGAATCATGCTTGTTTTCCTAAACATTGGGCAACAGCAACAATGATAGAAGCATTTCAGAATTTTAGCAACAACAACAAAGGCACACACATTCATTAGATCCATGACTGTGGATCTTCAGTGATACACTGTCAACTAGTCTGGCACCTATATCCAGAAATACTGACATTTCAGATATACTCAGGCTGTTTTCTCTATAAGAAAGACAGAACTGGATAAAGTATTGGGAACTGAGATATCTATCAATATCTTTCTATAAAGCCAGAAAATAATGCTTTTCCATACAGGAACATATGTGAAGGTACCCTCATGCCAATGCGTTTCTAGAATATAAGAGAAAGCAAAATATAAAATATTGGTTATCTAGTGCTATCTAACAAATTGTCACAAACTTTTCTCAGTGTCTATGGGTTAATAGCCCATACACAGCTTAGCTGGGGCTTCTACATAGGATCTCTCACAAGGTTGCAATCAAGGGGTTAATCAGATTAGTTCTTATATGGATGCTTGACTGGAGAAGAATGTACTTCAAGTAAACTTAGATTGCTGTCAGAATTAATTTCCTTATGGTTCTAGGAAACAGGGCCTTGGCTTCT